TTAGTAGAAACTTGCAAACTAACGAATGAAGCTATTCTTTACTCAGAGAGTAGTAAGGGCGTGGAATGCCTTGCCTGCAAAAATAGTAGACTCGCCCACTTTAAGGGCATTTAAATGGTCATTGGATAAACATATGGATGATAATGGAATAGTTTAGGTTAGATAGGCTTCAGATTGGTTTCACAGGTCGGCGCAACATCGAGGGCCGAAGGGCCTGTACTGCGCTGTAATGTTCTATGTTCTATGTTCTATGTTCTAGGGTAAACTAGATAATGTACACATGTACACCAGCATGTGAGTCTCACACTGCCTTCTACTCACTGGGGCTTTGGTGACAGTGATACTGGGAACTCTCTTGGCTTCCATGGTACTGGTCTCTCAAACCCCAGCCCAATGGTGAAAACTCTGATGTGTGTGGTCAAGTCCCTGATATTAATACTATTCTAAATCTAAGATTGCTGAATCTCCATTTCATAACGGCTGCAGTACGTTTGCAATCTTCAAAACAGGCTGACAAACAAATCCTAACAGCCCATGTAACTGTGCGACAGGGCAGTTTTCACAAACAATTCACAGTTATGTCGTTACCTCCTAGACAAAACAGACCCTGTTTTCTCATGTACTTTTCCACCTTCATTCAATTTCTCATTGCTGTGAGTGATCAATCCTTAACGATTAACCCTAAATGGTCTGGTTTGAAGATATCACTTTTAAGCCCAATGCTACACATGCATTTATATAGACCCTTTAGCAAAGCAAAGTGCCCTTATATTATCTGTTGACCCCTGGACACAGCTTCTGATGGCATTCTGACTTTATCATCATATCCTTATTAATAATCAGTCCAGATTGTCAGCTTGAGCTATTTGAGAATCTAATTGTTCATTGCTGGGTGGCACAGTGGTTAGCACTGCTGCCTCACAGCGCCAGGAACCCGTGTTCGATTCCAGCCTCGGGTGACTGTCTGTGTGGATTTTGCATGTCCTCCCTGTGTCTGTGTGGGCTTTCCTCCAGTTTTCTCCCACAGCCCAGGGATGCGCAGGCTTGGTGGGTTAGCCATGAGAAATGCAGAGTTACAGGGAAGGGGGTGGGTCAAGATGGGATGCTCTTTGGAGAGTCAATATGGACTCAGTGGGCTGATTGGCCTGCTTCCACACTGTATGGATTCTATGATTTTATCAGGAAAGCACCAAGCCAATTTCACAGCCAGTTAGTTTCCAATCAGTGCAAGATGTTGATCGTGGGGATGTGTTGTATAGCTCTCCATTCAGGTCCTAACCTCTGTGTCCCACTTATTGCCACCAGTCAATGGATCTGCCAAATAGCTGGAATAGCGATAAAATGTGGAGCTGGAGGAGCACAGCAGGTCAGACAGCATCAGAGGAATGGGAAAGTCGACATTTCAGGTCGGGACCCTTCATTAGGACTGGGGAGGGGGGAGCAGGGAGCTCAGTAATATAGAGGGAAGGACATGGTGCTGGGGGAAGGTATGTGGGATAGTGATAGGTAGATGCAGGTAGGGGTTTGTAGACATTGGTCAATAGGAAGGGTGGGGTGGATAGGTGAGAAGGAAGGTGGACTGGTTGTATCAGATGAGAGGGAGGGTCTGGATGTGGGATGCACAGCTCAGATCATCACAGAAGCCAACCTTCCATCCATGGACTCCATGTACACGGCTCACTGCTGTGGAAGGGTGGCTAATATCATCAAAGACCCCTCCCACCCCAGTAATGATCTCTTACAACCTCTTCCATCAGGCAGCAGATACAGAAGCTTGAAAACCTGCACCAGCAGGTTCAGGAACAGCTTCTTCCCAACTGTTATTAGACTGATGCTAAACTCTCTAACTTCAAATAATCTTAATCTTGATAATGTTGATTTTGCTTTGTTCGCTTCCTGTGCAGTGTAACCCGCATGCCTCATTCTGTCTAAGCACTCTATGATCTGCATGTCCTTGTTTGCTATAACCTGCCTGTACTGCTCACAAACAAAGCTATTCACTGTATTTACGTACACATGACTACAATAAATCAAATCAAATCAATTGCCTTAGGGAGAGAATTCCAGGATTTTGACCCAGTGACAGTGAAGGAAAGGCGATATATTCCCAACTCACTCAGAGATAGTAGGAACTGCTGATGCTGGAGTCTGAGAAAATAGGGTGTAGAGCTGGAGGAACACAGCAGGCCAAGCAGCATCAGAGGAGCAGGAAAGCTGACGTTTTGGGTCTGGACCCTTCTTCAGAAATGGGGGAGGGGGAAGGGGGCTCTGAAACAAATAGAGAGGGGGGGCGGTGATAGAAGGTGGATAGTGGAGTGGATAGATGGAGGGAAGACAGACAGGTCAAGGAGATGGGGATGAAGTTAGTAAAGGTGAGTGTAGGTAGGGAGTTGGGGTGGGGGTTGGTCAGTGAGGTGGGAGGGAAGACGGACAGGTCAAGGAGGTGGGGATGAGAGGTGGGGCTGGTCTTGGGATGAGTTCGGGGTTGGGGAGATTTTGAAGCTAGTAAAGTCCACATTGAGACCATTGGGTTGTAGGGTTCCAAGGCGGAATATGAAGTGCTGTTCCTCCAGTTTCCGTGTGGCATCATTGTGACACTGGAGGCCCAGGATGGACATGTCATCCAGGGAGTGGGAGGGGGAGTTGAAGTGGTTTGTGACTGGAAGGTGTTGTCGTTTGTCGCGAACCGAGCGTATGTGTTCCACAAAGTGGTCTCCAAGCCTCCGCTTGGTTTCCCCGATGTAGAGGAGGCCACAACGGGAACAGCGGATGCAGTATACCACATTAGCAGATGCGCAGGTGAACATCTGTTTGATGTGGAAGGTCTTCTTGGGGCCTGGGATGGGGGTGAGGGGGGAGGTGTAGGGGCAGGTGTAGCACTTCTTCCGGTGGCAGGAGAAAATGCTGCGGGGGGGGGTGGGGCTGGAGGGGAGTGTGGAGCGGACGAGGGAGTCATGGAGAGAGCGGTCCCTCTGGAAGGTAGATAAGGGGGGGAAGGGAAATATATCCTTGGTAGTGGGGTCAGATTGCAGGTGGCAGAAGTGTTGGAGGATGATGTGTTGAATCCGGAGGTTGGTGGGGTGGTATGTGAGACAAGGGGGATTCTGTTTTGGTTGTTATTGCGGGGAGGGGGTGTGAGGGATGAGTTGCAGGAAATGCGAGAGACATGGTCGAGGGCGTTCTCGACCACTGAGGGGGGGAGGTTGCGGTCCTTGAAAAACGAGGACATCTGAGATGTACGGGAGTGGAATGCCTCATCCTGGGAGCAGATGCGGCGGAGGCGAAGGAATTGGGAATAGGGGATGGCATTCTTGCAGGAAGGTGGGTGGGAGGAGGAGTATTCTAGGTAGCTGTGGGAGTCGGTAGGCTTGAAATGGATATCGGTTTCCAGGTGGTTACCAGAGATGGAGACAGAGAGGTCCAGGAAAGAGAGAAAGGTAATAGAGATGGTCCAGGTGAACTTAAGGTTGGGGTGGAAGGTGTTAGTAAAGTTGATGAACTGTTCGAGCTCCTCGTGGGAGCACAAGGTGGTGCCGATACGGTCATTGATGTAGCGGAGGAAGAGATGGGGTTTGGGGCCAGTGTAGCTGCGGAAAAGAGACTGTTCCACGTATCATACAAAGAGGCAGCATAGCTTGCGCCCATGCGGGTACCCAACTCAGGATGGTGAGTGGTTTGGAGAGGAACCTGCAGGTTCTGTTGGATTTATGTGCAGAATCTAAAGGAGTTACAGAATCTAATTCATTCCCAACAAAGATACTGATTATAATAGAGCCATCTGGACCCCATGCTACACAATTATTATTATTATTTTCCAGTAACCTATCTGGAGCATCTCTACTCTTTAAATCTCTTCTTTATAAAATAAACCATGCCTCTGTGATTAAGACTGATTTCCATTGGCCTTCCATCATGCCTTGCTCAATCCTTCCGGAGACGTATTCTTTCATAAAAGCCTTTCTGCCTGGACACAATGCATTAAAATCCTCTGAAGCAGTCAAACTATTTGTAACCCCTTCTCAAGCTGGGAGCTGATCATTTATTGCTGAAGGAATTTAAGGATTTCCAGTAGCTGATATGGAGTATATCCTCCCATCTCACACTGTGAATTCTTTGTATGTATGCCTCAGGCTGGTGAAGACGCTAATTTACCATTTGGCTGATCTTCCAACATTTTATGAACCATTTTGCCTGTTACTGCACACTGCCTTGCACGTACCCCATTGCCAAACGCCTGTCTGCTGCTGTATTCAAAACTCATGTTTATATCCACGCACAAGTCTCTCATTGTCAAATCCCTCTTCTCCCCCTCCCGCTGCATATCAGGGAGAAATTCTGCCCGTGATCCAAATCTGGCCCTACACACGTTTCCTTTTCTACAATTATTTTCTTGTCTTTTCCAATTTTTGTTACTTTTCCAGTGAGAGTTTTGTTTTCAGTTCACATCACATTATCTTTAGCAACGCTGATTGCTCACTCCCCACACATACACTCACCCAGTCAAGGGCTTACCCAAATGTCCCTTTCTTCGTTCATGGCAATTGGGAGTCACTGCCTAGGCCAGCATTTATTGCCTATCCCTAATTGCCCAGAGGGTAGTTAAGAGTCAACCACATTGCTGTGGGCCTGGAGTCACATGTAGGCCAGACCAGGTAAGGATGGCCTTCTCTAAAGGTCATTAGTAACCCAGATGGGTTTTTCCTGACAATCGACAACAGGTCTTCACTCAGGCAGCAGTCTATCCCGAACATTGTAATGAATTCATATTTCACCATCTGCCAGCGTGAGGTTCACACTCATGGCTCTGGGACATTGTCCTGAGGTTCTGGGTTTTTAACCACTACACCAGCTTGCAGAATGCCCATGACTGTCACTCGTATCCAAGTTCCTTTTGGCCTCAGGCATCCCTCCAGATGAGACTAGACATTAACACAGCAGTCCCTCAGGAAGGGTGAATTTTGGTAAGTGAGTTGTGTTCACTTCTTTGCTTTCCTTTTCAGGTTGACAGCCAAAGCAGTGGCAGTATTGCTCCCAATCTTGGGGATATCTTGGGCATGTGGAGTACTGACTGTCAATAACTATGCCATCGTCTTCCAATACATCTTTGCATTATTCAACTCTTTCCAGGTAACTGCAGCCTGGGTTATGTTAGCTGGAACTGCACCGTAAGGGCAGTCAGATTGAACAAGCAATTCTGAGTGAAGTATTGTTTGATGCACTGATGGTCCTGCAGGAAGTCAATGTCTTTGTCCCTACTCCTCTGACTGAGAGTTCGCACTGGGGTTTGCAGAGGGCTTTGTGATAATGTCACTCTACCAGCAATTCATAAACCAATGTGCTGGGGACAGAAGGTGATATTTGATTTCAGGAATAAGAAAGGAAAAAGAGGGTCGTCTCGTGGTGACCTTGTAGCCACTTTTAGATGTTGTAAAGATCCATCTGGTTCACTAATGTCCTTTAGGGAAGGAATCTGCCACCCTTACCTGGTCTGACCTACATGTGACTCTCAACCCACAGCAATGTGGTTGACTCTTAACTGCCCTCTGGGCAATTAGGGATGGGCAATAAATGCCCACATCCCATGAATACTTGAAAAAATAGTAGGAGAGCAATCAGCCCTCTGAGCCTGTTCTGCCCTTCAGTTTGATCCTGGCTGACCTATTTCCATGTTTGAAATTCACCTCAGGGTGGGAGACAGGGGACAGGTCCTGAGTGAGAAATGTCCATCGATTTGGAGATGAGTTTCCCATCCAGTTAGGGGCAGGAATGGAGATGGATCAGACAATGTGGGGAGATTGTAGCACAAGGGAGCAAGGTGTCACAGAGAGCTTGAGGGAGACTCTCTTCGATATAAGACGAGGTGACTCAGTCCCAGTCAGTGTTGAACTATTCTTTTACCCTTTCCCCACAGCAGCATCACTGTATGAGACAGTGAGAACAGGATGGAGTTAGCTTTGTGTTAAAGGTAGGAGCTGAACCCCTCCATGCAAACAGACAGGGAGATAAAGGGGACCTTTAGACTGGCCTGAATTTGGAACCTTGATCATGGAGATATATGGGCCAGAGTCTGCACCCAGTGAGGGTCCCACCAACCCCACTACCCCAAGATTATTAACAATCCACCAAGACATTTGTACAAAGCCACTGGCATGGAGACTGCACCTTCCTGGCGTCAGTGTTGGGGGAGAAAGGGAGAAGGTAGACAACAAAGAGGAAAGGGTAAGGAATTGAGGGGGACGATGAGAGACAGCATGGGAGGGTGTGGGACAGAGGGAGGAGGGTGTCAGGGAGAGGGGGCAGAGTGTGGAGGGTAGGAGAGGGTGTGGGACAGAGGAAGAGGATGGGGACAGAGGGGAAGAGTGTGGGAGGGAGGGGGAAGGTATGGGAGGGAGGGGGGAGAATGGGGATGAATGTGGGACAGAGGCGGAGAGTGTGGGGAAGGGGGAGGATGGGTATGGAGGGGGAGCGTGTGGGGGGGGGAGGGGGAGGGAAAAAACTCAACAGCTTCCAGGAACACTGCCATCGCCCTGTTCCTGGATTATCCTCTTGCCCACCATTTGGAGTGGGGTCAGGCCTCACCTGTTGAGGATCTCACTGCCTTGTGCCAAACTGTGAAGTCTGCACCAGACACAAGGTCCCTTTCTGAGTTTCCCACCACCACCCAATCCTATTTCATCCTGGCAGCTTGACCGTTCTCCTCCTTTTTCTCTTCAAAGTGTCAGTGTATTTTTGTTGTTGGTAATTTACAGTTTCTGATGAAATGTTGTTTTGTCTTGTCTCTAGGGGTTTTTCATCTTCCTCTTTCATTGTCTCCTGAATTCAGAGGTAAGTGACTTCAGGAAGTAATTGACCTCATGTGGAAAGTTGTTGTAGTTGATGAGTGAAAGGATGTCACATAAATTCAGAACAAGACTATCACCTGCTCCTCCAGATCCTGCACAAAGTGAAGCTTAATAAAAGCTCACATCAGTTTGTTTCTACTGGGATTGCAGCAACAAACACATTGCATTTACATAGCATCTTTAGTTTTTTTTGATTCACTGGGCATCACTGGCTAGGCCCAGCATTTACTGCCCCTCCCTACTTGCCCAGGATGGCGAGTGGCTCGGAGGGGAACTTGCAGGGGGTGGTGTTCCCATGTATCTGCTGGCCTTGTCCTTCTAGATGGAAGTGGTCGTGGGTTTGGAAGGTGCTGTCTGAAGATCTTTGGTAAATTTCTGCAGCGCATCTTGTAGATAGTACACACTGCTGTTACTGAGTGTCGGTGGTCGGGGGAGTGGATGTTTGTGGATATGGTACCAATCAAGCGGGGGCTGCTTTGTCCTGGATGGTGTCAAGCTTCTTGAGTGTTGTTGGGGCTGCACCCATCCAGGCAAGTGGGGAGTATTTCCATCACACTCCTGACTTGTGCCTTGTAGATGATGGGACAGGCTTTGGGGAGTCAGGAGGTGAGTTACTTGCCGCAGTATTCCCAGCTTCTGCCTGCTCTTGTAGCCCCTGTGTTTATGTGGAGAGTCCAGTTGAGTTTCTGGTCAATGATAACCCCCAGGATGTTGATAGTGGGGGATTCAGTGATGGTAACACCGAGGTGCTGTGGTTAGATTGTCTCTTATTGCTGATGGTCACAGCCTGGCATTTGTGTGGAATGAATGTCACTGGCCACTTGTCAGCCCGAACCTGGATATTGTCCAGATCTTGTTGCATTTGAACATGAACTGCTTCAGTATCTGAGGAGTCACGAATGATGCTGAACATTGTGCAATCATCGGCAAACATCCCCAATTCCGACCTTATGATGGAGGGAAGGTCATTGATGAAGCAGCTGAAGATGGTTGTTGCAGTAATTGTAATGAGGTCGGCCAGGTGGACCTGATAGAGTATGAATCTGGAACAGATTAACAGCCCCAATCAGGGAGCCCTGGCTGACAGATAGAAACAGGAGGGTCAGAGGTTCTGTTCACTCTGAGAGTTGGCTCTGAGGGAGCTGGATCAGTGTCAAGGACTCTCCCTGTGTAAATAAAGGGGGACTTGGTGACAGGATACCGGCCTTTGTGGAGTTAGTTCAGTGGTAATGAGGATGGGATTAATGAGGTAACTATGCAAAAGCGCCTACTACTGAAGCCGAACTGGACTTCAAACAGGCACTTAACGGGCTTTGTCATTGGAAAATGTGGCAAGTGGAGCAGAAGTGGAACAAGGTATTCCGATGGAAGTGGACACTCTCACCAGTCCAGCTGTGCTTGGGAAACACTACTCGTGTGAAAGCAATTGCATAGCCTGAACAGAGGGACTCCAGGTCAAATAAAAACCAAAAGAACTGCAGATGCTGTAAATCAGGAACAAAAACAAAGTTGCTGGAAAAGCTCAGCAGGTCTGGCAGCATCTGTGAAGGAAAAAACAGAGTTAACGTTTCGGGTCCAGTGACCCTTCCTCAGAACATACTCAGGACTCTAGGTCAGCCCACAGCAAAACCCCAAAACAAAGCCAAGCCTCAGCCAAATGGTTAACATTTTCTTCAGGATCTGGGCTGGCAGCCAGTATCCAGGAGAGTGCACACACTGGAAAGTCCACTTACATCCAGTTGGAATAGTTAAATTGCTCAGCAACATCCAAATCAGAACCAATCAAAATAAACATTTGGTTAAATGGTCACCCAGTTCTAATGGAGGTTTATACCAGTGCAGCCATTTCAGTGATTACAGAACTGGCCTTTAACAAAATTCACTCTCGACTCCAACGCTGAAGTTCATGCAAGACCTTGGCTAGACTGAGAACCTGTACCAGGGAACATTTACAGAGTAAGGGCACAACTTCGGTTCTGGCCTCTTATGCGAAGCAGCTGGTTAAGTTATCACTGATTGCAGTAAAAGGCTCGGGCCTGAGCACGTTGAGGCGATCTTGGTTGAGAAAGGTTCATCTTGGTTGGCTCGACATTTTGTCGATTAGAAATTTGCTGCCTGAGTGAAGTCCCAAATAAATACTCGGAGGTTTTTAAGGAAGGATTAAGGTTTATCAAAAGAGCCAAGGCCACATTGCATGTTGACCAGGAAGCAGTTTCACAATTCTGCAAGGCCCACATGGTGCCATTTGCCTTACGGGCAAAGGTTGAGGTAGAAATCAGAAAGCTGGAAAGTGAAGGAATCATCAAATCAGTGTGGTTTGTGGAAGCCTGTCCTTCACGAAGCTGGACATGGGCCATGTGTACCTGCAATTGTAGTTAGATGAGGATCCCCACAAGTATGCTACAATTAATGCCCATAAGGCTTTGTATCAATATAGGAGACTGCCATTTGGGGTATCGTCAGCCTGTGCAACTTTTCAGTGGACAATGGAGAACATTTTACAAGGTCTGCCTCAGGTCGCCACTTTTCTAGATGATGTGCTAATAACAGGGAAGACCAATAAGGAGCACTTAGAGAACTTGGACATAGTCTTTAGACATTTCTCCCAGGTGGGTGTACGCCTTATAAGGGAAAAATGCATATTCCAGGCACCTCAAGTGACCTACTTGGGTTACAGAGTTGACAAGACCCATTTACACCCATTGAACAATAAAGTGAGGACGATGAAAGGTGCCCTGGTTCCCAGAGCTTAGGTCTTTCCTTGGGTTGGTGAATTATCACAGAAGGCTCATTGATAACCTGGCATCTATCCTGGCAGCTTTGCAGCAACTTTTAATAAAGGGTCAGCTTTGGAAATGGTGGTGTAGCCAAGCCATAGCTTTCAGGGAAGTGACGAAACAGCTATCATCCTGTAAGGCACGCTATGATCCCAGGCGAGATCTGGTATTCACATTCATTGCCTCCCTGTACAGCATCGGGTTAGTGTTAGCTCATAGCTGGCCCAATGGAGAGGAACGCCCAATAGCGTATGCATCCAGGACTTAGGCTAATGCAGAATGTAAATACGCCCAGATAGAGAAGGTAGGTTTGGGGTTCATATTTGGAGTCAGGAAGTTCCATCAATACCTATTATGGACATAAATTTGTAATAATAACAGACCACAAACCCCTGCCCGATCTACTTAAAGGGGACAGGGCCGCGCCACCCATAGCTTCAGGCCAAATTCAGCGGTGGGCTCTAATACTAAGTGTGTATAATTACAATTTGGGACACCATCCAGGATGCCAAGTAGCAAATGCGGGTGCATTGAGCTGCCTCCCACTGACAGATGCACTGCCAGTGGTGCTGCCACTGGAAGAGTCTGTAATGGTTTTAAATCTTCTGGACACACTTCCAATCACAGCTGATAATATCATCCTTTGGACAAAAAAAATCCAGTCCTGACAAAACTGAAGCAGCTGGTGGTGATGGGGTAAACCAAAGGGTCGTCACAAACAGAACTGAAACTTTTTTGGACTCGGAGAGACCAGATCACAGTAGACAGCGGTATATTATTATGGGGAGCAAGAGTGATTGTCCTGAGCAAAGGTTGCTGCCAGTTACTGGCTAAACTCCACCAGGGTCATCCAGGGGTTTCCAAAATGAAGACATTGGTGAGAAGTTCTATCTGGAGGCCAGGATTGGATGCAGACATAGCTGCATTGATGGGGCAGTACCCAAAGTGCCAACAAGGACAAAAATTACAGCCAGCAGCTCTCCCATTGGTGGGAATGGCCGGGTAAACCATGGACCCAGTTACACATCGACCATGCAGGTCCTTTCATGGGTTCAATGTTCTTAGTCACTGTGGACGCCCACTCAACGTGACTGGATGTGCAGAGAGTTCATTCGTCAAACACGGAGACGACGATAGAAAAGCTGTGTGCATCTTTTGCAGTACACGGGCTCCCAGAACTGTTGGTCACGGACAATGAGCCATCATTTACCAGCAGGCGGTTGTATGTTTCCTAAAGTCAAATACTATTCGGCATATAAGGACAGCTCCATACCATCCATCATCCTATGGTCTGGCAGAAAGAGCAATCCAAACTTTGAAGGCAGGCTTAAAGAAACAGCCTACAGCTTCACTAGGTACCAAACTGTCCCAGTTTCTATTTGATTATCAGACCACCCTGCATGCACCTACAGGGACAGCTCCAACAGAGATGCTAATGGGGAGAAGACTCTGCACCAGGTTAAACCTGATCTTCCCAGATCTGGGGGGGCACAGGGTGAAACGGCATCAGGAACATCAATGCCAGACACAAGGCGCTGTTAAGTGGGAGAGGGGATGAAGTTTGGTGTAGGAACCACAGGGATGGCCCTGTATGGGTAGGAGGCACAGTGGACACATGGTCTGGTCCGGTGATGTATAAAGTTTGAGGAGGTGCAATGGTCCTGAACAAACACATGGACCGTCTGAAAGCCGAAAACTTGCAAACGGTGAGGGAGCAAACTGTGCCTGGCTCCTTGGCTGCCTTTCTGAATGTTCCGGAATCCGGGGGATTTCCCTCTCCATCAAACGTTGAAGGTGCCTCAGAATCTGAGATGGAGATAGCGATGTCGCTGCCTGAAGAGAATGAATTTCTTCTGAGACACTCTGGGCACAAGAGGTGAGTTACTGTGTGTTACACACGCAGCCCGTAACCGAGGCAGAGTTGGAGGAACCTGACCTGGTGCTGAAACGTCCCGGGAGGAGCTACAGGAAAAACGAACCAGCCCATGATCTCAGACTCGGACGGGGAGGAACGTACTGACTGTAACAAGGTCAGCCTGGTGGACCTCATGGAATAGGAGTTCCCTGATTGGGGCTGTTAATCTGGTCCAATCAGGGAGCCCTGGCTGACAGATATAAACAGGAAGTTCTGTTCACTCGGAGAGCTGGCCCTGAGGAAGCTGGATCAGTGTCAAGGCCTCTCCACGTGTAAATAAAGGGGGACTTGGTGATGGGATACTGGCCTCCATGGAGTATTTCAGTTGGGCCTAGGACACTATTCTGAGCAACTCCTGCAGAGATGTTCTGGAGCTGAGATGACTGACCTCCAACAACCACGACCATCTTCCTATGTGCCAGGTATGACTCCAACCACCGGAGAGTTTGCCCCTGATACCCACTGATTCCAGTTTTGCCAGGGCTCCTTGATGCCACACTCGGTCGAATGCAGCCTTGATATCAAGGGCTGTCACTCTCACTCTCTGGAATTCAGCTCTTCTGTCCATGTTTGACCCAAGGCTGTAATGAGACCAGGAGCTTAGTGGCCCTGGCGGAACCCAAACTGGGTGTCACTGAGCAGGTTATTGCTGAGCAGGTGCTGCTTGATAGCTCTGTTACTGACACCTTCCATCACTTTACTGATGGTCGAGAGGAGACTGATGGGGCGGTAATTAGCCGGGTTGGATTTGTCCTGCTTTTTACATACAGGACATATCTGGGCAATTTTCCACATTGTTGGGTAGATGCCAGTGTTGTAACTGTACTGGAACAGCTTGGCTTGGGGAGCGGCTAGTTCTGGAGCACAAGTCTTCAGTACTATTGCCGGAATGTTGTCAGGGCCCATAGCCTTTACAGTATCCAGTGTCTGCAACTGTTTCTTGATATCACGTGGAGTGAATCGAATTGGCTGAAGACTGGCATCTGTGATGCTGGGGACCACTGGAGGAGGCCGAGATGGATCATCCACTCGGCACTTCTGGCTGAAGATTGCTGCAAAAATTTCATGTTTGTTTTTGCACTGTACTTTTCCAATACAACTGAAAACCTAACCCTTAACTAACCAATACTGATTCAACCCATTCAAGCAAATCCTATTGATAGGGAGGGGAGACATAGAGGAGAGATTTGTAAGCAAAGATGAGAATTTTGATAATAAGACATTGCTTGGGTGGGCGTCAGTGTTCAAACTGAACTCTGGGACTGTGGAGGGACACAAAGACGCAATGGCTTTGTTTAGCGTGATTCTATACTGTTATGATGTTTCTGGGGACCTTTTACTGCAGTACTTGAGGGCGTAAACCAGATTAACAAACTAAGATGGTATTGCAGTAGGATCTAGACAGATAAGAAACCTCTAGGTGGTGCTCTCCAGCCTTGACCCTACATTAAACAGAATGACCTGCACAATAGTAACCTTGAAGTTGAACTCCAGCCTGAGTCGAACACATTGTAAATTTACACTCGGCTCTGAAAATTTCCCATCTGAATATTGGCTTTGTAACTTGGCCTCAGACCTGAAATCAAATGCATTAGAATGACCCCAACTCATCCGCTTTGGTCACGGCCCATTGAGCTTACTTGTTTTATTGCGATGGAAGTGTTCCTCTGTCATTTGAGACTAGTTTAATTTAAAAGTAATGCATTATATTATGAGGGAAGGAAACTGTATAACTGCTGAAACAAAACATTAGAATTGGCTGATTCAGAACTGTGTGAAATGGGACTGTTTGTCCAGTGCTCTGACCTTCAATAAACTCTATCCTCACCAGCATCTGCTCCTTTGCCTCTTACCATTGCTGTGTGTTCGAGCCAGGACTCCAGTTTACTCCACAGTTGTTAATATATCAATGCAGTAAAGGCAGAGTGTTCACTTTAGTGCCAGAAAGCAGCTGCCACCATCGATCTGCTCTGATCATTTCACATAAACTGGGCTCCACTTGGCAAGGCTGTCCCTCACTGAACTTGAGGTGACAGCATTCTCAGGTACGTCCCACCGTGCCCCTGTGTCTGCCGTCATTTGGATCGGGTCATTACACCATGAGCCTGGGCTGGAAACCTGACTTGAGGGTGTCACTAATTTAAATCTATCTCCAATCCTACAGAACCATGTTGGGCCATTATTGCCTTTTTGATGTGAGATAGTAGGAACTGCAGATGCTGGAGAATCCGAGACAACAAGGTGCAGGGCTGGATGAACACAGCAGGCCAAGCAGCATCATAGGAGCAGAGAGGCTGACGTTTCGGGCCTAGACCCTTCATCAGAAAAGGGGGAGGGGAAGGGGGTTTTGAAATAAATAGGGAGAGAGTGGGAGGCGGATAGAAGAGGGATAGAGGAGAGGATAGGTGGAGAGGAAACAAACGGGTCGAAGAGGCGGGGATGGAGCCAGGAAAGGTGAGTGTAGGTAGGGAGTTAGGAAGGGGATAGGTCAGTCCAGGGAGGACGGACAGGTCAAGGGGGCGGGATGAGGTTGGTCGGTAGGAGATGGAGGTGCGGCTTGAGGTGGGAGGAGGGGATAGGTGGGAGGAAGAACAGGTTAGGGAGGCAGGGACGAGCTGGACTGGTTTTGGGATGCGGTGGGGGGAGGGGAGATTTTGAAACTTGTGAAATCCACATTGATACCATTGGGCTGCAGGGTTCCCAAGCGGAATATGAGTTGCTGTTCCTGCAACCTTCGGGTGGCATCGTTGTGGCACTGCAGGAGGCCCAGGATGGACATGTCGTCTGAGGAATGGGAGGGGGAGTTGAAATGGTTCGCGACTGGGAGGTGCAGTTGTTTATTGCGAACCGAGCGTAGGTGTTCTGCAAAGCGGTCCCCGAGTCTCCGCTTGGTTTCCCCGATGTAGAGGAAGCCACACCGGGTACAGCGGATGCAGTATACCACATTGGCAGATGTGCAGGTGAACATCTGCTTGATATGGAAAGTCTTCTTGGGGCCTGGGATGGGGGTGAGGGAGGAGGTGTGGGGGCAGGTGTAGCACTTCCTGCGGTTGCAGGGAAAAGTGCCGGGTGTGGTGGAGCTGGAGGGGAGTGTGGAGCGGACAAGGGAGTCACGGAGAGAGTTGTCCCTCCGGAAAGCAGATAAGGGTGGGGAGGGAAAGATGTCTTTGGTGGTGGGGTCGGATTGCAGATGGCGGAAGTGTCGGAGGATGATGCGTTGGATCCAGAGGTTGGTGGGGTGGTACGTGAGGATGAGGGAGATTCTTTTATGGTTCTTATTGCGTGGACGGGGTGTGAGGGATGAGGTGCGGGAGATGTGGGAGACACAGTTGAGGGCGTTCTCGACCACCGAGGAGGGGAAGTTACGGTCCTTGAAAAACGAGGACAACTGAGATGTACGGGAGTGGAATGCCTCATCCTGGGAGCAGATGCGGCGGAGGCGAAGGAATTGGGAATAGGGGATAGCATTTTTGCAGGAAGGTGGGTGGGAGGAGGAGTATTCTAGGTAGCTGTGGGAGTCGGTGGGCTTGAAATGAATATCGGTTTCTAGGTGGTTGCCCGATATGGAGACAGAGAGGTCCAGGAAGGGGAGAGAGGTGTTAGAGATGGTCCAGGTAGACTTAAGGTTGGGGTGGAAGGTGTTAGTGAAGTGTATGAACTGTTCGAGCTCCTCGTGGGACCTTTCCTGGCTCCATCCCTGCCTCTTCGACCTGTTTGTTTCCTCTCCACCTATCCTCTCCTCTATCCCTCTTCTATCCGCCTCCCACTCTCTCCCTATTTATTTCAAAACCCCCTTCCCCTCCCCCTTTTCTGATGAAGGATCTAGGCCCGAAACGTCAGCCTCTCTGCTCCTATGATGCTGCTTGGCCTGCTGTGTTCATCCAGCCCTGCACCTTGTTGTCTCACCATATAAGAGCATTTCTGGATGTGTATAAAAAATGTGTGGAAGAAAATAGATGCCTTTGAAATGTAGAATACTGGGATATATGCTAGAAATTCCATTTCTAAACTGTAAGAAAAATGAAGAGGTGTTTGAAATTGCAAGAGTGAAAAGAAATCCTCAGAAAGTGACATCCAGGAAAGGAAATGCCAATATCTTGGCCATGTGATCAGAGTTGGAAATTTGCAGAGGTCTCAAGGGGGACATTCTGTGAGGGCAGATCTCCTGGTGGGAAGTAGCTTCAAGCAGTAGCAGAGTATAATCTCGTTGAAATTCTAATTGCCTGATACTCATGTTTGAGATGGAGTCTGTGGAAAAACAAGTTGTGAAAAGTTGGAATTGAAAAGTAATGATATAACCAGGGAGTACCGTGCAAGCAATTTCGAGAATTTTGAAATTTAGCATAACACTGCTGTACTAGCAAACAACTAATCATCTTGAGACTGTTGTGTTCCAACAGCACCAATCTCTTCTCTCTTTTTACAATCAATTTAGGTCAGAGCCGCTCTCAAACACAAGACAAAGGTCTGGTCCCTCAATAGCAGCTCCATGCGTAATGTCAACGTGAAACCTTTCAATTCAGACATCGTAAGTACAAACTCCTTTTGCCTTGCCTTTATTGTCACTGCACATTGACATGTTCTGAGGAAGGGTCACTGGACCCAAAACGTTAAGTCTGAATTTTTCTTCACAGATGCTGCCAGACCTGCTCAGTTTTTCCAGCAACTTCTGTTTTTGTTCCTGATTTACAGCATCCGCAGTTCTTTCAGTGTTTATTAAAGAGATTGACCAGTTTGCTTTCGTTCAAAGAACTTCAGGACTATCATTGAAAAACAATTTGACAAAGATCTCTGTCTCACTCACTTAGGCGTTATAGGCACAAAGAAAGAGCATCTTTAAAGAGCAATTCTCATTAATATTCTGTTCTAATTCCTCTCCTCTCCCAACATCTGAAGCTCCGGTTTATACATTGCCCCACCTGGCTGCACACAGATGTTGTAGGAGTCAGCTGAGCTAGATTATGTTTGCCAAGAGTTGAGAAATAGCAGTTTGTTTTATTGTTAATTCTGCAGAGACTCAGTTAAAAGCTGGAGGATTTGGCAAAGGTCTCTAACAAAAACAAGAGAATTTTGCTCATATACTCATCGAATATGTGGTGTCCTGTCTATCTGCTGGCACTGATCCTCTAGAAGGAAGCGCTGTTGGTTCTGACAGTGATAGAACCAGCAGGAGGCCATTCAGCCCCTCACACATTCTGCACCGTTCAGTCATAAAATGAAAAGCGAAAACGCTGGAAATATTCAGCAAGGCTGGCAGCATCTGTGGAGAGGGAAACTGGGTTAATGTTTCAGATCAATGACCTTTCATCAGAACTGGGAACTGTGACAAGTACAGAACAGGGAAAGGGAGGAGGGGAAATTAAAAAAGAAAACACGAAAGGGCAGGTTTGAGGTAGGATGGAGGAACAGTGAGATTAAATGACAAAAGGGATGTTGGTGGAAGGCAAACATGGGGCATGTGAATAAAAGATGGGTTTGAGGAGGTTTGAATGGCAGGGTGGGAGGTGATAGTCGGTTAGCTCAGTTGGTTGGATAGGTGGTTTGTGATGTAATGTGACACCACAGACATGGGCTGAGGTTACCATGAGGGACTCTCCTTCTCAACCTCTCTCCTCGCTTGAGGTTAAACTCACCACCAGTCGCCTCTTAAATGAGAGAGTAGCCCTCTTGAGGCAATGCTGACTTTGTCCGTAGAGTGTCAAGAACAGAATTATTCCCAACAGCTCATCTTCAAAACAAAAAGAGTGATGACTATCATTTAAATTTGCTGCATTTAATGTTGAGTCCAGACGCAATAACGACCTAACAGGAAGATGAGATGACAGTCCTTGTTTTGGTTAGATTTTAAACAATAGCAGAAATTGCTGGAGAAACTCCGCAGCTCTGGCTGCATCTGTGGAGAGAGAAATGGGGTTAATGTTTCGAGTCCAATATGACTCTCGTTCAGGCTGAAGGCAGGAGGAAGGGTCTGTCTGAGATAGGATGGAGGACTTGACATTGTAAATAACAAAATAGACGTTGGTGCAACGCAAACGGGGGCAGTAGTTTTGAAGAGACATTAACTCTGTTTCTCTCTCTGCACAGATGCTACCGGACCTGCTGTGTTTCTCCAGCACTGGTGATTTTATTTCAGATTTCCAGCATCCACAGTATTCTGCTTTTATTTGAGATTCTCTTGCCTGATCTGTAAATCTACACCATTTACTGACCTTACTCTGTATTCCTCAATACCCTTATCTCAGTCTTGAAATCTCAAATTGACCCCCAGCATGTGCAGTTTTTTTTCGAGTGGGCAGTTCCAGACTTACACTGTCCTTTCTGTGAAGGAGGAGTCTGACAGTCTTCTGCTGTAGATTAATAGATGTTTGATAAAATCAATTCTGTGGTTGCAAGAGCAGGTCAAAGGCGAGGAATCCTGCAGCAAGTAACTCCCACCCTGACTCCCCAAAGCCTGTCAACCATCTACAAGGCACATCGGGAATGATGGAATACTCCCCACTTGTCTAGAAAAGAATCCACACTGTTTAGGACAAAGCAGTCCTGTTTGATCAACACCTCACCCACTATTTACAATATCCACTCCCTCCAGCACCGCCACTCAGTAGCAGCAGTGTGTACCACCTCCAATATATACTGCAGTTACTCATCAAGGATCCTTAGGCAGCACATTTCTGAACCCTAGATCTCTACTGTCTTGAAGGACAAGGGCAGCTGATACATGAGAACACCACCCCCTGCAAGTTCCAAATCATTCACCATCTTGACTTGGAAATATATCGCCATTCTCTTTGTGTCACTGGGTCAAAATCCTGGAATTCCCTCCCTAAGGGCCAACCCACAGCATATGGGCTGTAAACAGCTCAAGGAGGAAAATAGGGAAAGTTTTGCTAAAACTGTACAAGGCACTTGTGAGAGAGCCCCCCTGGAATATTGTGAATAGTTTAGGGCCCCTTATCCAAGGAAAGATACATTGTTATTGGAGGCAGCCCAGAGGAGGCTGACCCTGGGTATGAAAGGTCTGCCTATTGATTGGAGATTGAGTAGGTTGGGCTTGTACTCAGTGGAATTTAGCAGCATGAGAAGTGACCTACTGAAACATATAAATTATTTAGTGAGCTTATCAGTGTAGATGCTGAAAGGTTGTTTCCCTTTGTGAACGTGTCAGGAGCTAGAGGGCAGAATCTCAGAATAAAGGGCCACCCTCTTTGTGTGAAATAACTCCACAGAGGCTGGTATCCCATCACCAAGTCTCCCTTTATTTACACGTGGAGAGTCCTTGACACTGATCCAACTCCTTCAGGGCCAGCTCTCCGAGTGAATAGAACCCCTGTCACTCCTGTTTCTATCTGTCAGCCAAGGTTCCCTGATTGGACCAGATTAACAGCCCCAGTCAGGGAACTCCTGTTCTATCAGGTCCACCTGGCTGACCTCGTTACATTCACTACACTGGGGGGAGTGAATCTGTGGAATTCTATACTGAGGGCTGTTGAGGCTGTGTCATTAAATACATCAAGGCTAAGATAGACAGCTTTTTAATCACGAAGGGAATCAAGAGGTTATGGGGAAAAGGCAGGAGGGTGGAGTTGAAGGTTAGCAGATCAGCCACAGTTTTCATTGAATGGCAGAAGACTCGATGGGCTGAGTGGCCCACTTTTGCTCCACCATCGTATGGCCTCATGGTCACTAGCATCTCCTCAAGGGCAATAAATGATGGCCCAGCAGTGATGTTCACAATCTGTGAGTGAATGAAACAAGATGTTGAGATGTGTTTTCAGGGTGGTTGGTGGTTCTGGTGGCGTGGCCTGTTCACCTGTAGTGTTGTCAGACACCCAGTGTTCTCCTGATTGACATTGTCGTCCCGCTGACACCTAACCATGAAAATCTCAAACTCAAGCTGCAATCAATCTTACAGCCCCTGGAGCCTGCTCTGCCATTCGATCCATTCATGACTGATTTCCCACTTCCTCAAACCCACTTTACCCATCTGATTCCCCCTGGGTAGCTGCAGGTATCTCTCTGGAGGAGAGATGGTAGCCCTGTGATATGTCATTGGATTGGATTTTAAGAGGGCCTGACTAATATTCCAGGGCCGGGGCGGGGTCACACCCCAATGTGGCAGCAGCTGATGGATTTTGAATTCAGTTACAAGTCACAGAATATGTAGCCATTCTCAGCGATAGTTCAGTAATGCCCTTTAGGGAGGGAAATCTACCTTCCTTACCCAGTCTGGCCTACACGTGACTCCTGACCCACAGTGATTTGTGGATAGCTCTTCCCTGCCCTCTGAATTGGCCAAGTAAAGCAACCAGTTCAAGGGCAGTTAGGAAAGAGCGATGGACATTGACCTTGCCGGAAATGCCCACATCCCATGAGTGAACTGAGGCATCAAACCAACAAATAATCCGCCAATGCCAGCCTTTGACAGACTCCAAGATGGAGCATCCAACATTCTCTTGGATAGAGAATGCCAACACTTCTACTTGCACATGTATGAAGAGGTTTCTATGAAGCTGATCCGAGATTGCTGACCCCTTTAGTGCAACTCTAAGACCACACCTTCCCCCTAATAGGGGGGAGGGGGAAACAAAGAATCAAACTTTCAGCCTTGCCAACTCATCAAAGTTTTGTAACTTGACTCCTGAAAAGGAAGATTTCCTCCTCTTATCTTGCCCTTCAACATCCCCATTAGTTTTTGAGGTTAATTGTCTTTATTACGGTTGAAAAGCCTCTCACACCGCTCAGCTGTTTTTGTTCCTCAGCATATTGAAGGTGAGTGATGGTGGCTGGAATATTAACTGTTGAGGTAAATCATCCTTCCGTCTAGTTTGTTCTGTGGCAACCATACCTCCCCCCTCAGCCCAGCCCCTCCCTCACCACCATCAGCACCAAGAATCTGCCGCCATCTAAAGCCCATGCCAGCACCTTTTAGAAGTGCCTGAGTAAATCTTCCCAATCCCTTGTGCTCAAGGATAGGTCTGTTTATCTTGATGATGGGTGGAAATTGGGCAGCTCAGCTCTGTGTGAACAATGTGACCCGCAGACACTAATTTGTCATTTACTCACTTACAAATAATCATTCCAATTATAACAAAAAATGTAAGTCCCCCCCTCCACCACCAGCCCTCATTGCTCTTCCTCTCTCACACCCCATAAACCTCCCAGGATCCATGAAATAACTGCAGAGACACCAGTATCCCATCACAAAGTCCCCCTTTATTTACACGGGGAGAGTCCTTGACACTGATCCCGCTCCCTCAGAACCAGCTCTCAGAGTGAGCAGAACCTCTGACACTCCTGTTTCTATCTGTCAGCCAGGGCTCCCTGATTGGACCAGATTAACAGTCCCAATCAGGGATCTCATATTCTATCAGGTCCATTTGGTTGATCTTGTTGCAATCAGTACAGTCCATGCATGCCACCTCATAGCCCCCCCAATTCCCTCCATGACCCCCAGTGACCTGCCCCTGCAACACCCCAATGGCTATTCCTGCTCCTGCATACTAGCTCGTGCTGAGCCTCAATCTACATTGTTGGCTAACAGCCCACACTTCCATTAACGTACTAAAACAGCTGAGCCCCAGGGAAAAACAAAACTGCTCCATTGACTGCTCAAACTCTCCAATCTCTGCTGCCAGTTACACAATATTTATTTGCCGAAGTTTCAATTGCTTACAGTTTTTGCTATTAATGTTTTACATGATCTGGATAACCAAGAGGAGGTTACAGAGATAGGGAGGGATGTAGAGGCTGGAAGAGGAGGTTACAGAAGTAGGGAGAATTTGCATTGAAGGGTGAAAGGTATTCCCAGTGTGGGAGCCATTGTGAATCAGTGAGTACAGGAATGGTTGGGGGTAAATGGGATTTGGTGTGAATTGAGTGTTGGTGGGGGCTGAATGTTTGGATGAGTTGGGGATGATAGAAGTGTGCACAGAGGAAGCTCGAATCGGAGGAACATTGAGTTCCCAGAGAGTGGGTGGAGGGGGAGGGGAGATCACAGGGAGAGCATGCTAACAGGGAAAAGAGGAAATTCCTTATGGCAGCTTCTGGAAATGATGTTTCATTCCTGTGCACCTACAGATGAATGGAAATCGAGCGATCACCACCCCCACAAAACTGAACACCTGGGAGAAGAGTACCGAGTTTGCGAATCGAATGGATCTGTCGGCAGTGTGACCACCGCACTCCTGCCTCGACCAACCAACAACAGACCCAGTCTCCAGTCTCATCACTGCTCCTCTCCGAATACTGAACCACACTCACCCATCCAGGCTACAGCCAGAAAGGAAGGAACTGTTGACTCAACTCACTTTTATAAAACGCAAAGAGAAGGAACTGCAAACGTGAGATATTTATTATACCGGACACAGGGGGAGGGGGTGGTGGGGATGTAGGTTAGTGTTTCTCGGGAAGGTAAAACTCATTCAGGAAAGTAAGATGAATTTAGCAGTTGTCCTGAAAGCCCTTTCCCTGATGGGGAGGGGTGCCATCTGTACCCACCTGATACTTAATGTGACTATATGTGTATGGTTTTACTCCTTTTGTGTAGGGGATCATTTTGTGAATTCTTAAGTAATTATGACAAGCACACATAAATGTGTACTGCGATTTTAAACTAACTACTTTGAGTGTAAAATGATAATTGTCCCTCCTTAAAAGCATGCATAGTGGGTGTAGGAGGAATTACAAAAATCTATGTGTTTTTGGCAAGAATTTTATATATTGTTTTATTGTGACACAGGTTTAAGACTGAAGTATGTTTCCTTCTGTATATTTTTCTGATATCTGTAGTTTTTTTTTCTGTGTTAAGAGGCAAAGCTTTCTCCACAACAGGTTTCCATTTTCCAAACCCAGTCTTATTCTTTAGTATCTCCCTTGAGGTTAAAATCCACTTGGACTAATCGTTACTGGAGGTTGTTTTAGAACCAGTTGATAGATCTGATGCTGGGATGCTCTGGTGGTTTGGTAAGTTTAATGAGACTGGAACTGAGCCATGTGTCCTAAGCATTAAGGCCCAGCAGCAAAGCCAGGCAGAGATTGTATATCCTGCCAACTTGGGGAGGTGGTGTAGGTTTTGGGGGGAGTACTGTTGGTGTTAACGGGCCCTCAAAGTCAATACCAGCTAGCAGTTCCTGACCCAGTCATTGTCCTGTAGCTCCAGCTAGGGGTCAGGTTTGGAAGGTCAGTAAACTCCTGCAGTGAGGGACCATCCCAAGAGCCAAGATTGAGGAGAATGGACCAATCTACTCTGGTGTTTTTGGAAAATGAGAAGTGACCTGATTGAAGCAAACAGGATGCTTCCAACACTTGACGTGGTGTTTACTGTGAGGTTAGTTCCCCTGGTCAAGAGCTGAATGGCAGGAGGACAGACATAGCCCCAAAAATAATCATCGGCCATTTAGGACTGAGATGTTGAGAAACTCCTTCACTCATTGGGTGTGGATCTTTGGAATACATCACCCCACAGGACGGGGATGGTTAGTTAGTTAGTAACAGAGGATGGTTAGTAAATGAGTCAAGTCTGAGCTCGGATTTGAGGATAATGGGGCTACAGCAGGGAACTGGAGTTGATGTCAATCATTGATGATTTTATTGAATTGAGGGGCAGGCTCCATGACCTGTATCTTACACATGTTAGCATTACCCCAGGGTTGGAAGTAGAGGGGAGGGGGTGGAAGCCGCAGGGGGTCAGCAGGTTGCTGAATGCAAGGGGTTCAAATCTCTGTCCTTCCCCAAACCTAGACTCACCCACACACTCTGAGGATCATGGGACAAGTGACAAAGTAGAGTAGCAAAGAACTGAAGAGAGTGGTTATTTCTCTTTAAATGTATTTCTTCTGTTTTTGTTCAGAGTCGGTGCCTGCAGTGCATGATGATGTCACATCCCTGTTAGAATGTGTTAACCTTCTCTGATGGATAGGGATGTAATTATTTAGCTGTAACTGTAGAAATCTAACTGTTTTGTCATGAGAAAAGCTTTTGAGTTGGAGTGTGCTTTGTGAAGATATCATACTGGACCTGTGGCTGGTGAATAAGTGTCTGTCACAAACATAAATGAAATATTTCTCTTTGCACTGTATAAGGGTCATTTTATTTTGCCTTAAATGAAAGGTGGAGATCAAGTGTGTGTCTGAGAGAGAGATTCTGAAGAAAGCCAACTTCAAAATCAGACTCAAAACCCTCTCATAAACATAACCGTCAGACTCTATCATAGCAAATAGCTATATTTATCTAACTATTTTAACACAGTAGAATGTCACAAGTTGTTTTGCAGGAGTGTTTATCACGGTATTTTGCCATCAAGACACACACAGAGATATTATATTCCAGGTGATCAAGTGGTTTTAAGGACTGTGTCAAAGAAAGGAATGGCACAAGTGAAGGAGCACAGTTTTGGAGAACTTAGGAGGGATAAGGTCTGGAGCAAAGGTGAGCTGGCAGAAATGCTAGGAGCAAAGAGAGGACAAGCAAAGCAACAGGTCCCTGTCTGAAGAATTTGGTAAGCAGGATAAAACTGATAAAGAAAACATATGATGGATACCAGCTCATTAATACAAGCAGAATCAGGCTAAATATAAAATGTGGAGAGCAGATGAAGAAAGCAAATAAAGAGCAAAGAGAAACAAAGAGCTTTGGTGTCTGATATAAACAGGACACTGATGGCCTGCTACAGGCACATTAATAGTCGGAGGTTTGTCTGAGGATGATTAGGGATCAAAACAGACACTTATTAGTGGAGGCAGACAGCATGACTGATGTCCCGATGGTGCATTTTACCAAGGATGATTCACAGTGACAGTAAACAGGGAGGTTGCCAGGAGATTGGCTGAGATGAAAAATAGATAATGAGGAAGGACTGGAGAGACTGGCAGGAATTTAGGAATGAACCCCAGGAGTGGATGGGATGTAGCCCAGATCCCTGAGGGAAGCAGCGGTGGGAATTATGAAGGCACTTCCCATAATCTAAAAGATCCCCTCCCTTGTAGATACCTTTCTTCTAGAACCAAGTGGACTTATGTTTTCAAAGGAACCAATTTAATCAGGCTTTCTCAAATCGGCAAAGACTGGCTTTATTAATTACTACACATAAGAAAAAAATGCTAACACAACATGCATATACATAAGATCAGAAATAAGAAGTGAATTCAAAAAGATGGAAGTTTCAAAAACAGATCTACAGATCAGTGATAACAAGGTGTAGAGCTGGATGAACACAGCAGGCCAAGCAGCATCATAGGAGCAGGAAGGCTGACGTTTCAGAAACCTTCTGATGAAGGGTCTAGGCCCGAAACGTCAGCCTTCCTGCTCCTATGATGCTGCTTGGCCTGCTGTGTTCATCCAGCTCTACACCTTGTTATCTGAGATTCTCCAGCATCTGCAGTTCCTACTATCTCTTCTACAGATCAGTCATGGAATTGTTTGTGGAGGGTAGATAGTTGAACCTGTAGCTGTTACAGTAGACGTTACCTGTAGCCCTGAGGTTGGTAGTTGAAAAGTCTGTTTCACGATCCTCAGTTTTTCAGATTGACTAAGATTCTGATGTTCTGATTCCTTTCAGCTGCAGTTGATCTGGTTTCCTGTTGTTTGACCATGAACCTGTTGGCTCCTAGCACTCATAATAAGAGAGAATCTTCACCTACAATGCAGGGGTGACTAGGGAATAATTCTTTGACTGTGACCTTCACAGCACAGTAAAGCACAAGCACAAGTCCAAGCTGATATACACAAGAGTGTTCAGTTCCACTAGCACACTCCAGCAGAGTTGAAACTGGCCTTTCAACTCCATAAATATTTTTCAAAGTGAGAAATACAAAATGTGTCAGCAGTTTGGGACATAATTTGGAGGGAGAACCATCAGCCTCCATTATCTTTGTCGTCACAGCCCAGTCAATTTGAAGTTTATTCGGCACATTTACATGTTATATCCTAATGGTCTTACACAGAATTTTTGTGAGCCAGTGAATGTCCACTGGCAGTCATTTTATCTCTGTAGCAGTCCACTTTAAAAAAACAATTTTACAATGAGGTGCTACAACTGCCCATAGTGTATCCGAGCTCCAGCCTGTCATTCTAACATTGCTAGTGCACCATTGATTCAGTATTGGGAAGATACTGGCTAAAAGCACAGTACAAGTGATGGCGTAGCAGACTGGAACTGTATCCATGGTTGAAGGAGAAAAGACTGCTGGGATATAGGAGAGAAAGCATGGGCATGGGCAGAACTAGACTACTTTTTGAAAAGGGCCAGCACAGATTCAATGGGCCCAATAATCGCTTACAGAATTATGCTGTTCTATGAGGCAAAACATTTTGACATTAAGTTTCAAATCTTGGGCCTTTATGAAGAGTTTTGTGATACAGTTTACATGCTGCGAAATGATATTGAGTTTGAGAGTAATTATTACAGCAGTTGACTATGTGTTGATCTCACATGGAGCTGACATCTTCTGTTCCGAATCGATCTAGGAGGGCTTTGTTCCTGCTCTTCTTGATGTCTAAACATCTGTTGCAACTTCTGATTTCAGAGACGAATTAATGAGGATGTTTATTGTGTTGCAGATTCTGAGATTCAAAGCTTCTCTGCATGAGCGAGTGGCAGTTTAATTTCACAAGTGGACAAGGGCTAACACTGTGAGTCTTAGGCTATGCCACTAATCCTGTGAGTGTGATTTTCTCCCCATGCTGTGGGTTAAGAAGATCATTGTGCTTCATGTCACTTGCTATGTGTAAATACCATCATCCCAGCCCCTGAGGGACATTCTCTCAACAGAGGGAGATGACTGGTGGTGGTTTAGCCTGAAGGTCACCACACCTCAGGGTGAGGGGTGAGGTTGAGGAGGTAGGACTTTCGTGGTAGCCTCAGCTGGAGTGGGATTTGAACCCACGCTATTGGCATGTCTCAGCATCCCAAACCAGCCATCCACGCTAACTTATCCCCAATAATGTGTGAACAGGAGTCAACTGCAGACTTTCAGCTTGCGCCAAACCTAATCTAGGGCTCCACGCAGTGCCAAGCCCCATCTGAATACCCAACAGAACATCAACAGAGTCTATAAATGGGAATGAAACTGGACACAATCACCAGCATCGACCTCATCACAGATATAATTCTGAAAAACCCAGCCCTGTCGACCCTGCAAAGCCCTCCTCATTAACATCTGGTGGTTAATGCCAACATTGGGAGAGCTGTCTCACAGACTAGTCAAGCAACAGCCTGGCATAGTCATACTCACAGAATCATACCTTAAAAACAATGTTCCAGACACCACCATCACCATCCCTGGATATGTCCTGTCCCACCGGCAGGACAGACCCAGCAGAGGGGGTGGCACAGTGGGATACAGTCAGGAGGGTGTTGCTCTGGGAGTCCTCAACATTGACTCTGGACCCCGTGAAGTCTCATGGCTTCAGGATAAACATGGCTCTTGCTGATTACCACATACCATCCTCCTTCAGCTGATGAATCTGTACTCCTCAATGTTGAACAACACTTAAAGGAAGCACTGAAGATGGCAAGGGCACAAAATGTACTCTGGGTGGGGGATTTCAATGCCCACCACCAAGAGTGGCCCAGCAGCAGTACTACTGATCGAGCTGGCGGGGTCCTAAAGGACATAGCTGCTAGACTGGGTCTGCGGCAGGTGGTGAGGGAACCAACAGGAGGGAAAAACATACTTGACCTCATCCTTATCAATCTGCCAGCTGCAGATGTATCTGTCCATGACAGTGTCGGTAAGAGTGACCATCGCACAGTCCTTGTGGAGACAAAGTCCCGCCTTCACATTGAGAATAACCTCCATCGTGTTGTGTGGCACTATCACCGTGCTAAATGGGACAGACTTCGCACAGATCTAGCAACTCAAGACTGGGCATCCATGAGGCGCTGTGGGCCATCAACAGCAGCAGAATTGTACTCCAACACAATCTGTAACCTCATGGCCCGGCATATCCCCCACTCAACCATTACCATCAGGCCAGGGGATCAACCCTGGTTCAATGGGGAGTGCAGGAGGGCATGCCAGGAGCAGCACCAGGCATACCTGAAGGTGAGGTGCCAACGTGGTGAAGTTACCAAACAGGAATATTTGCACGTCAAACAGCGAAAGCAGCAAGTGATAGACAGAGCTAAATAATCCCACAACCCATTTGCAACTCCTCAGATTACTGAAGCAGTCCATGTGCAAATGCAGCAAGACAATATCCAGGACAATATCCAGGCTTCAGCTGATAAGTGGCAAGTAAATTTCACACCCCACAAGTGCCAGGCATTGACCGTGTCAAACAAGAGAGAACCCTCCATTTTGAACATTTGAAGAAGAGTTACCCTGAAGACTGAAAACAGTGAAATATGGTAAATGGTTATTTGCTAAATTGTAGTTTGTAAACACAGTGTTCTCCAGGGGCCAGTTCTCCAATCACTGGGTTTTTGATTTTCAAGTTAGTTGAATATGGGAAGCTGTCTGTCTATCTTTTTCTCCCATCCTCATTTCTAAGGGTTTAGCCATTAGCTTCCATTGGGTTGGTCGAAGTTTGTGGGCACCGTAGGGCAGTTGTTGGCCTGTACCTTCTAATGGATGTCTGACTGACTCCGAAAGTCTCCTGTTGTTACCAGTGGCTGTCAGGCCGATGGGAAGGATGTATACACTGGAATGGCTGCACTACAAACTCAAGTGGTGTACAATCCAAAGCTGCAGCTTCTGACCAAGAGATAGGGTCACTACCAGCACACCATGAGAACATTACAAACCTCTCACTATCCCCTGTGCCACAACACGCTACCTCAAACCATCTCTGCATTCTGCCCCTTGTCTCCATTCTACTGGCCTTTGTTTATCTTGTTGCAATTGAATGGCATCACCCTCACTGTTGTCTCACTTCTAAATTTGTTATTATTTGTAAATGTTGACAGTTTATCTGCTTTCCAGTTCCCAGAAGGAAGGTTTGCAGCATACGGTGCAGATTCCCTACCTGTGAACCAGAAGCAATGGGTTTCAGTTCATATCCCACTTCAGGAGCTGATCCCCATGGATGGTGCGTTATCAATCAGTAAATCCTTTGGACATCCCTACGGG